GATATTAAATTAAATCTACTAATTTTATTACACATTTCTGAAATGTATATGGATCAAATACTTAAATCTAGACAACGGTGTATACATTATATCTATTTCTATGGAATTTGATATACGGTTGTATAATGACATTGTGACGCCTCATAATTATTATTAATAAATAATAATTAAATTTATTATACAGACATTTAAAAATGTCATAGAAATTATAATTTAAACAATAAAATGCAAATAATAAGCATAGAGTTCAAAAATATCTATTTGGAATATTGAATATTATATATATTAGTAAACGCATAAAATGTCTCTAAAAATCTCTAAATTTATTAAAAACCTGCTTAAAATGTTAAAATTGTATCTAATCATATAAATACAAGGCGATTATATTGCAATAACAAAGATAAATAACATTTGTAATATAATAGAAAAAATGGATTAAAATTTTCTAAGTTGATGAAGGTGTTCGTGTAATAATTGGAAAATTTCTAAGTTAATGAACGTGTTCATGTAATGTTCCCTTATATTGGGGCGTTGTCGGAGACACATACCCAAGATTGTACATATATATGGGGTGGTCGGCTGACCGACTGCTAGTACTAAGGTTGCACAATGACTAGTCCTATATTAGGGACTTAACATAGTAAGGTCTGACGAACCAAAGCATTAATATAGAAGGTCTCTATGATGCATAAGCATTATGATAGCAGAGTTATGACTTGAAGTCCCATATGAATAAGACATACAGTAGTATGGTCTATGAAATAAAGCAAAAATGTGGAAGGTCTCAAATATGTAAAAGCATTATATTGAAAGAAATGGGACTTGAAAAGGATTATTATAGTGGCGTGTAGGTTGCTTCGCAGCCTCTGAGACCGAGGTAAACTTGGACTCACTAACCGATGTGTCCTAGACATATCATCTTAGTGCCGGTGGTAAGCGGGTTTGTTGTAGCAATACGACTTGCCCGTGGACATCGCACACCCCTACCGGTTGTGGGCGGCGTCTTAGCGCATAGCGTTATGATACGTCGGCTATCTTTCGGATTAGGGTGAGTGTGTTTGGTAGTACTTTTAAGTGCAGCAAGCATACTCAACTTCATGTCTTAGTGCAATAGCGCTATGATACGTGGAGTTTTGGCTACTGACGTCTTAGTACCGTACTACTATGATACGTTGGTGGTATTTTTAGTTAACAACATTATCAAATTTTGTTACCAAAGTCGATAGGGATCATATGGGTGTGTTGTGAGGGGGCGCCATCCGTATGATAGTTGCATTGATGCTTACTGCTACTTGCAGTATCGTGTCTTGTGATGGATCTGCGGGTGTGCTGCACCTGATTCGATGCATCTTGTGGTTCTGGTCGATGGAGGTATGCGGGTGGTGATGTCTGCTGGGACTGTATGGGGGACCTTGGGATGGTGTAAGCCCGACGATAGTCGTATTGATGCTTGTTGCATTCTGTAGCATTGCGTCTCTACGATGGTTGTTTGGCGGGTCGCTATTCTCAATGGCGCTCTCTGCGTCTTGGTTTGACTCACAACCTAAGTAGCTTGGCCCAAGTCGGGTCCCTTCATTGCGGGGCTGCAGACTGTCTGCCCTCCATGATGTTTTATATAACAACTTAATAACATATCTCTATAAAGTTCCCACCTTTGAGAGATTGAAGGCAACTTGTTGGTGGGTGAGACAAACATGATCGAAAAATGCATATACTCAACGTCAGTGACACAAACCCTTTCTGATGGCGAATTATTAATATTATCTTATAACTGCCTATTGGCTATATCTGCCATTGTATTGGTTGGTGGAGCATATGTGTTGACCTCATGCGGGTGGTAGCTGGAGGGAGAATCTGAGGAGGCTCTCAAGGCTGCGGCCGAAAGCCGCGCAACGTGGGACCCCATTCCCTTGAGGTGAGCGGTAGACTCATGACACGCTCTGCGGCCAATTGGCCGTGCTGACCATGCAATTGGTGGTGATGCCTTACACTTACATCACGTCTGCAGGAACGGCGGTCTGGCAGGTGGTGGCGCTCACGGAAGGCTTTTTATGGCCAGTGTGCCGATTGTTGCCTAACCCGTGTGACGTACATTTCACTGTGGCTGGATTTGATCGTATTCTGTATGGCGTTTACACGCATTGACATGCGCGACTTCGGTCGATGTTTGTGCTTACGCACTATCAAGGGGCCAAGTCCTCTTTTACTGGTTCGCCAGTTATTTTGCTGTGGACTACGGTCCAGTTCCCAACTTTGCGTACCCTTCGGGGGGAGCGCATTAAAATGGTTGGCGCTCACCGTGCGCGGCGTGTGTGGGGCCGTGTACCTCCTCCACATTTTTTTTAAAATGTGGGAGAGCGAAGCCCTTGTAACTGGTATTTGATATAAATATTGTGAGCCTTTTCCAAGCGGGAAGGGATTAATTAATAAGGAATTGACTGTTGTGAACCAGATACAAGTGGAATAGGGACAATTTATTGTTCTTAACCTTTTTGAGCTCTGTCTTCGTGAACGGGGTTCTTTAGCTTATAAGACTCTACCAACAGCTTTCGATTGCTCTCGTGAATATTCATTCTTCCAAGATACACCTAAAAGAACTAAGTTACTATACAAACACAACGTAAAAAAGGGTCCTAACTAAGACGATCACGACATAAATTTATTAAACGGCCTATATTTAAACCTTTAGAAAGATCAAGTTATACTGGTCACGTAAATTAGATGTATTTATATATCTTACAGATATAGATTCTAAAGAAATACAAGTATAAGTGGGATATAGTAGAAAAGAGAAAAAAGATGGGGGGGGGGGTTCGTTACAATTTGGTGCCGTGACCAGGATAGAGGTTAAATTTTAAATAGGAGGCCGGTAATATAAAATTATGAGGTAGGCTATATGCCTACAATTTGTTGTCCGTGAAATGGAGAGGTGTCTTGGAGAGTGGTGTTTGCTGGGGGTGGTTGAGAGTCTGGGGGTGGGGCTTAAATATTAAAATTAAGTAATAATATAGGAGGTGTGTGCATAACGGAGCGAAATAATAAAAAGTGAAATAAGTGGAAAGACTCAATTAAACTAAGCGAAGGACACAACAGTTGTAAAAAAAAAAAAAAAACAAGTGGAAATAAAAATTAAAAATGGCTAAAAATAAGAAAAAATCAACCTCAATTAAGGCTAAGTCTAAAGATGAGATGAAAATGCTTCAGAAATTAATTAAGATTGCAGTGAAAACCTTTGAGGTTGAAATAAATGATCTTGAGGAAAAATTTATTAACCAAACAAAAGATTACCAAATTAAAATAAATCAAGGAGAGGTGTCCGGGGCGAGCACCTCTCATGTAAATGATCCTAGACAAAATATTGTATATAATGTACATAATGTAACAATAGAAAAGCCGAAATTTGGAAATGGAAATACTCATCCAGTATCATTTTTGGAAGATCTCACCAATTATTTAAAGAAAGTTCCATCTAATGGGTTCGAAATTTCGATTGCACAAGAGTGCTTAGTAGGTGAAGCCAAGTATTGGGCTCGCATTAATAATGTGCGTTGGACAACTTTTGATGATTTTAAAGCTGACTTCCTAAGAGTGTTTTGGGGTGAAGAAGAATAAAATAAAGTAAAGAGATTCCTTGTGCAAAATAAATGGAATAGAAGTACACACCCCACCATGGTTAGTTATTTTCTTTATGTGGTTGAGAAGGCACAAACATTATCATATCCGATACCTGAAAAACAATAAGTAACTGATGTCATCAGACATTATCCTAAAACTGTGCAGCAATTATGGAGAATAGCTAAAATTGAGACAATAATAGACACGACAGATTTCTTAAGAAACTTAGATGACATCGACAAACAAGATGAAGGTCGTGAACCTTACTATAATGAGAAAAGGAGGAAGTTTAATAATAATACGGAGCAAAAACATAAAGAAATACAACGATCATACAAAACATGGCGTAAACCCGAAGAGGGAAAAAAGAAGGTTAATGAAGTACATGAAATACATTTCACTAATGACCAACCTGATGTTACGGCCCCTGAGCCAAATTTAGAGCTGTAGAGGTCGAACTAGTTCCCGATTCGACCCCTTACAATGTAAAAGGGAACAAAGCATTAAATATGTTATTAAAACTGGGTTTGCGACCTGGTCAAACATTGGGTAAAAACAATAGAGGTTTGCGAAAACCTATTACTTTAAAAGCAAATTTTAACAGAGAAGGCCTTGGTTATAACGACAATGTAAATAGCATATTAAACACCTTAAAAGCCAGGTCGGACTTGCCCATAACGGAGTTATTCGTGCAAACCGTCTTCGAGGAAGACGAAGATAAATATCAAAGGGAATTTATAGGGAATATGAGATCTGAAATTAAAGTTTCAATATTTGACAAAGAAATAGACGCGCTCCTCGACACTGGGAGCGATGTTACATGCATTTCAGAAAGTTTATATTTACAAATTAAAGAAAATAATCGTAAAATATCAATAATGCCAGTTAAAGCAATGCAAATAAAAGGTGCTGTTGGGCAGCGCAGCACAAAAATACAACAGATGATCATATTGCCTATAAAGATAGAGGAAGTAGTCTTTGAAACACAAACTTTAATTGTAGGTAATTTAATAAGACCTTTAATATTAGGCTTTGACTGGCTCAAGAGAAATAAAATATTGATTGATTTGAGAAATACTACTGTTGGAATAGAATTTAAAGTGAAAAACAAAGACTACTTTATACCTTTCAAATATAATAATAAATCTGTATTACATAATAACTGCATCAAACAATGTACCGATGATCCCTTAATAAATATAAAAATAGGATCTACATTGGAGGTCTCTGAAAGGGCAAAACTTAGTAAGGTTTTGGAAAAGCATAAGAATATGTTTTCGAGCAAATTGGGAAGAGCCAATTGCTATGAGCATAAAATTGAAATGATCGATGATGAACCTATAGTTACTAGGTCCTATCCCATTCCATATGCATATAGAGCGAAAATGGAAGAAAAGTTAAATGAAATGGAACAAGCTGGTATCATCACAAGGACATCAACGCCTTACAGTAGTCCATTGACATTCACTCTTAAAAAAGACGGCTCAATTAGAGTTCTGCTTGATGCCAGAAGCATAAATAAGAAAATGGTTGCAGAAACAGAGAAACCACCTATACAATTAGATGTTTTCAATTTATTTCACGGAGCGAATTATATCACTACCATTGACTTAAATAATGCATATTTTCAAATTCCGATATATAATGTTTTGCCGCAAGGATTAAAAACATCAGTAGGAAGCTTTAGCAGAGCCATGAATTTAATATTAGGACCAGAAGTCCAAGAATTTTGTGTGAACTATTTAGATGATCTAGCCACTATTACAACAGGAACGTTAGATAAACATTTGGAGCACATTGATATTGTTTTAAGTAAATTGAACAAAGCTGGCTTAACGTGTAACTTGCAGAAATGTGAATGTATTTGTAAAGAAATTAAAATGCTGGGTTTTATAATTTCAACAGAAGGCATAAAGACAGACCCCGATAAGATTCGAGCGATCCAAGAGTTTCCAGCACCTAAAAAGATTAAACAATTAAGGGCCTTTTTAGGTCTATGCAATTTTTATAGAAGGTTTATACCAAATTACAGCGAGAGCATAATACCGCTCTGTGAATTACTTAAAAAGGGACGAAAGTTCCAATGGAGCGGTAAAGAACAGAAGGCATTTGATTTTATAAAACAACAATTTATTAATACAATACAATTGCATCATCCAGACTTTAATAAGCCGTATTATTTACAAACAGATTGTTCCGGTGTGGGTATGGCCGGAGTACTATATCAGATAGATGATAATAATGAAATGAGAATTTTAGGCTATCATAGTAAAGCCTTAAAAGGCCCCGAATTAAATTGGTCTGTTACTGAACAAGAGTTTTATGCTGTAATAAGCCGCCTAAAGAAATTTGAAACATATTTGAGGGGCAGTAAAGTAATAATACTAACTGATCATAAAGCATTATTGTTTATTAATAATTCAATGGTAGAGTAACCCGATGGATTTTGTATATAGAACAATTTAATTATGAAGTACAGCATATATCGGGTAGACGTAATATTGTTGCAGATGTGCTATCACGTTATCCTCCTGATGGCGATTTAATACAAGAGGATAAAAATAATAGTTTAGAAATTGCTTACACAGAGAGCGAACCGAATATTGAGTGGATAGAAAAATTAAAATCCTTATCAGTATATCAATTACAAGATTCAGAGTCGTTGGCTATTATTGAAAAGTTAAAGACATTAAATACTTACATAATAAAATAAAACAATAAATTTAAAAGGTATAGTTTGAAAAATGATGTATTTACTACAAAACGAATTTACAAGAAGTAATATATTTACCTAAAGCATTGAGACAAGATATTATAAATCAAGTGCATGTCGAAATGGGTCATCAAGGACCCTATAAGGTAATTAAATATGTGAGAGACAGATTCTTTTGGAAAGGTTTAACAAAAGATATTAAAAACCAATTAAGGGCTTGTCATTTATGTCAGTTATCTAAGAAAAGCAATATAACATATTTGGGTCCCTGCAAATCTATAATAACAGAAAACATTGGCGATATAGTCATGGCAGACTTATATGTACCACTTGTATCAGGTACCTTTGGGTACACTTTCATATTTGTCATTCAAGATTCATTCAGTAAATTTATCAAATTATATCCTTTAAAACAGTCAACAGCAAAGTCTGTTGTAACAAAAGTAAAGCATTTTGTTGAGATTATAAAGCCCAAGGCAATAATGACAGATAATGGAAAACAGTTCGTAAGTAATCACTGGAAACAATCAATGAGAGATTTAAATATAAAGCCAATATATACCATAGTTAGAAATCCTAGACCAAATACAACAGAGCGAGTAAATAAAGAGTTGAGCAGATTATTTAGGACGCTTTGTCATACTAACCACAAAGATTGGGCGTTAATATTGCCGAAATTAGAAGAATTGTATAATAATTCTTATCACAATAGTACAGGCTTCACGCCTTGTGAAATTCTTTATGGTGAGTCTAATGAGATGTCTTTTGACAAAGTAATTTCCAAAAGCAAAGAAAAACATAATGTCGGACAAATTAGACAACAAGTGCGTAAAAATTTAAAAGAGGCAGGTCGAATAAGAAACACAAAATTTGATAAGCGAAATAGATTAATAAAATATAATATTGGTGACTTAGTAAAAATTTCAAGATCTAGTAGATCAGACGCTGATAATAAAGTTATGAGTAAGTTCAATTTGGCATATGAAGGACCTTATGTAATAGCAGCCGTACCATTTGACAATGTATATACCTTAGCAAATCCAGAGACAAACGAAATTAGAGGAATGTTCAATGCTATTCACTTATTAAAATATTTTAAATAATAATTTCTTTTTGTATAAATTAGAGTAATTAAATAAATATTGTAACATAAAAGGGTTTTGTGGGTGGCCCATGGAAATAATTGTTTAAGTTAAAGGTCTAAAATTATTAAAGTTATGAGCAAGAGATTTGTTATATGATAGTAGAACGTTATTAATATATAATGAAGAGTTGTAAATATAGATCGCAAGATAATTTTGTAATCATTTTTATTAAATAAATATGGGAGTTGGGTCAGGGCGAATGGCTCAAACACATTTATCCTATGTGGTATCGAACTGACCTCAACAAATATCCAACTGGATTGTATGCACATAAAGTGTGACACTATCGAAATAATGTTTCAAAGATTTAAAGATAACTTAATAAAATAAGAAATCGACAATTGACTGCAAACTTTATTAACAACACGATATACAATAACTTGAATTATGGTGTTATCACATTGTGATAATTGTGGTTGAAGGGGTGTTGGTGGCGGCCATTCTCTGGGGCAGGGGGATTTGATAACATATGCCGTATTGTAACAGATTAAAAGAGGAAAGAACAGATATATCAACAATTATTTGAGTGTAGTGAATATGCTCTCAAAATACTAAAATTTTATAATAACGACACCACTATGTGGATCATTAACATAAAATTTGGGGGTGGATTGTGACGCCTCATAATTATTATTAATAAATAATAATTAAATTTATTATACAGACATTTAAAAATGTCATAGAAATTATAATTTAAACAATAAAATGCAAATAATAAGCATAGAGTTCAAAAATATCTATTTGGAATATTGAATATTATATATATTAGTAAACGCATAAAATGTCTCTAAAAATCTCTAAATTTATTAAAAACCTGCTTAAAATGTTAAAATTGTATCAAATCATATAAATACAAGGCGATTATATTGCAATAACAAAGATAAATAACATTTGTAATATAATAGAAAAAATGGATTAAAATTTTCTAAGTTGATGAAGGTGTTCGTGTAATAATTGGAAAATTTCTAAGTTAATGAACGTGTTCATGTAATGTTCCCTTATATTGGGGCGTTGTCGGAGACACATACCCAAGATTGTACATATATATGGGGTGGTCGGCTGACCGACTGCTAGTACTAAGGTTGCACAATGACTAGTCCTATATTAGGGACTTAACATAGTAAGGTCTGACGAACCAAAGCATTAATATAGAAGGTCTCTATGATGCATAAGCATTATGATAGCAGAGTTATGACTTGAAGTCCCATATGAATAAGACATACAGTAGTATGGTCTATGAAATAAAGCAAATAATAAAATATATAAGCGCAAGTTCGGCCCCACATGGAATACTGTTCTCATCTCTGGGCCGGGGCACCCCAGTGCCAGCTCCTTCCACTTGACCGCATCCAGCGCAGAGCGATTCGAATCGTCGACGACCGAGTTCTTTCCGATCGGCTCGATACACTGGCACTGCGTAGAGATGTTGCATCTCTTTGCGTATTTTATCGCATCTATCACGGGGAGTGCTCTGAGGAATTGTTAGGACTAATTCCAGCCGCTCAATTTCACCATCGCACGTCGCGACAAAACTCGCGTTACCATCCATACCATCTGGATGATTGGCGGTCCACCACTGTGCGATTTAGAAGAAGTTTTCTCCCTCGCACAACTTCTTTGTGGAATCAATTACCACCAGCGAATTTTCCGAACCGATACGACTTAGGAACCTTCAAGAAAAGAGCTCACACCTTTCTAAAAGGCCGGCAACGCATCTGCAATTCCCCTGGTGTTGCGGTTGTTCATGGGCGGCGGTAGTCACTTAACATCAGGTGAGCCGCATGCTCGTTTGCCCCCTATTCTATAAAAAAAAAAAAAAAAATGTGGAAGGTCTCAAATATGTAAAAGCATTATATTGAAAGAAATGGGACTTGAAAAGGATTATTATAGTGGCGTGTAGGTTGCTTCGCAGCCTCTGAGACCGAGGTAAACTTGGACTCACTAACCGATGTGTCCTAGACATATCATCTTAGTGCCGGTGGTAAGCGGGTTTGTTGTAGCAATACGACTTGCCCGTGGACATCGCACACCCCTACCGGTTGTGGGCGGCGTCTTAGCGCATAGCGTTATGATACGTCGGCTATCTTTCGGATTAGGGTGAGTGTGTTTGGTAGTACTTTTAAGTGCAGCAAGCATACTCAACTTCATGTCTTAGTGCAATAGCGCTATGATACGTGGAGTTTTGGCTACTGACGTCTTAGTACCGTACTACTATGATACGTTGGTGGTATTTTTAGTTAACAACATTATCAAATTTTGTTACCAAAGTCGATAGGGATCATATGGGTGTGTTGTGAGGGGGCGCCATCCGTATGATAGTTGCATTGATGCTTACTGCTACTTGCAGTATCGTGTCTTGTGATGGATCTGCGGGTGTGCTGCACCTGATTCGATGCATCTTGTGGTTCTGGTCGATGGAGGTATGCGGGTGGTGATGTCTGCTGGGACTGTATGGGGGACCTTGGGATGGTGTAAGCCCGACGATAGTCGTATTGATGCTTGTTGCATTCTGTAGCATTGCGTCTCTACGATGGTTGTTTGGCGGGTCGCTATTCTCAATGGCGCTCTCTGCGTCTTGGTTTGACTCACAACCTAAGTAGCTTGGCCCAAGTCGGGTCCCTTCATTGCGGGGCTGCAGACTGTCTGCCCTCCATGATGTTTTATATAACAACTTAATAACATATCTCTATAAAGTTCCCACCTTTGAGAGATTGAAGGCAACTTGTTGGTGGGTGAGACAAACATGATCGAAAAATGCATATACTCAACGTCAGTGACACAAACCCTTTCTGATGGCGAATTATTAATATTATCTTATAACTGCCTATTGGCTATATCTGCCATTGTATTGGTTGGTGGAGCATATGTGTTGACCTCATGCGGGTGGTAGCTGGAGGGAGAATCTGAGGAGGCTCTCAAGGCTGCGGCCGAAAGCCGCGCAACGTGGGACCCCATTCCCTTGAGGTGAGCGGTAGACTCATGACACGCTCTGCGGCCAATTGGCCGTGCTGACCATGCAATTGGTGGTGATGCCTTACACTTACATCACGTCTGCAGGAACGGCGGTCTGGCAGGTGGTGGCGCTCACGGAAGGCTTTTTATGGCCAGTGTGCCGATTGTTGCCTAACCCGTGTGACGTACATTTCACTGTGGCTGGATTTGATCGTATTCTGTATGGCGTTTACACGCATTGACATGCGCGACTTCGGTCGATGTTTGTGCTTACGCACTATCAAGGGGCCAAGTCCTCTTTTACTGGTTCGCCAGTTATTTTGCTGTGGACTACGGTCCAGTTCCCAACTTTGCGTACCCTTCGGGGGGAGCGCATTAAAATGGTTGGCGCTCACCGTGCGCGGCGTGTGTGGGGCCGTGTACCTCCTCCACATTTTTTTTAAAATGTGGGAAAGCGAAGCCCTTGTAACTGGTATTTGATATAAATATTGTGAGCCTTTTCCAAGCGGGAAGGGATTAATTAATAAGGAATTGACTGTTGTGAACCAGATACAAGTGGAATAGGGACAATTTATTGTTCTTAACCTTTTTGAGCTCTGTCTTCGTGAACGGGGTTCTTTAGCTT